GAACAAAGCAGGGTGCTTATCCCGCAGAGAAGGCCTGTTAAAGTGCTCTGGGAGCTGAGAAGTTCGTGTTTTATTTTTAAACACAGCCCCCTTCCTGAGGCAAACTGACGCTGGGCTGGCGCTCTTGTCTCTGCAGATTGAAAAGTTACAGACGCAGCTGGACAGAGAGAAGCAGAGCAGCCAGGATCTGGAGACCCTGAGTGAGGAGCTGATCAAGGAGAAGGAGCAGCTGCAGGGCGACATGGAGGCCCTGAAGGCGGACAGAGCCAGGCAGGTGGGCGCCTCCGGAAGCAGCCTCGTCCTGTGTCTGCAGCCCCCGGCCTGCTAGCAGCACAGTGAAGGCTGCTAGCCTTGCCTCGTGATAGTCTGAGGACGCGTGGGCTGTCAGCTGTGGCCCAGCTATGGCTTAAACCAGTGGTTTTCACCCTGCACTGGGGGGCGAGAATACCCCCAGAGGATACTGGGCAGTGTCCGGAGGCACTGTTGATCACACGACTGGGCATGGGGGTGGCATCTAGGGAGTGGAGGCCAGGGTTACTGCTAAACATCCTACCCTACGCAGGAGAATTTCTACAACCAGGACTTGTCCACATATCCATTGTGGACACCTTCCAGATGTGCACAGTGCTGCAAGCCCTGGTGAACCCAAGCCGAAAGCCAAACCCACTGCCACTGAGTCACTTCTGACTCATAGTGACCCCCATAGGGTTTCCAAGGCTGTGGATCTTGACTGAAGCAGACGGCCTCATCTTTCCCCAGGGAGTGGCTGGTAGCCGCTGCACCACCAGAGATGCTCCTGGTAAACCCACAGGGCTTCATTCTCCTCTCACCATGAGAAGTCCAGGGAGACAGCCAGTGCAGATGCCGGGGCCCCACGATGCTGTCCGGGACCCGGGCTTCTCCTAGTTGCAGCTGCTGCCTAGGAAGAAGCGGGAGGGCGAGGGCCAGAGGGAAGGCTTCCAGGACCCAGTGCACACGGCTCATTAGCCATAATGGACACTGAGCATCCCCAGCTGTGAGGAAGGTGGCAGGTGGAGTAGTTTGGCTTTCCATCTTTTGTAGTTGGTCCCTGGGTGGCGCATGTGGTTGGTGCTTGGCTGCTAAGTGAAAGGTCAGTGGTTTGAACCTGCCTGGTGGTGCCGCAGGGGAAGGCCTGGTAATCTGCTTTCGTAAGAAGTCAGCCAAGAAAACTACGGAGCTCAGTTCTCCAACACGTGGGGCCTCTGTGCGTTGAAATTGACTTGAGGGCAGCGGGTTTGGTTTTTCAGTAGAGCCCCCACCTCCATCTCCACCCTCCAAAAAAAATATGGAAAAGAGACTTTGACCTGTGGTGAAAAGACCAATTGGATCCCTGCCCAGATGTGGCTTATAGTCTAGAAGCCTACTGACAGGTAACCAGCAAGCCACTGGCAGGTGTGTAAAGGTGCTCAGGCAGAGGATCAGGTGGGGGCAGACCACATTAGCCATAGTCCTCACCCAAGGCTCCTCCAAGGAGGAGACACTTATATTGAGCCTGAAGAGTGAGGAGGAGTCAGTGATGCGTGAAGCCCAGGGAACAGTGTTCAGGATGGAGGGAACAGCATGTGCAAAGTGTCTGAAGCAGGAAAGGGCTGGGGAACAGCAAGAGAGGAGGCAGCAGGGTTGGGTGGGAACCGGGCCACGGGGTTCTGCCAGCCAAGATAAAGTCCCAAGAGAAATCGCTATGTGTTTTGAGTGAAGGAGAACGACGTGGCTTCCGTGCTTCAACTTGGCCTGGCTGCTGTCAGTGTATTTTGACGTGAATTGTCTCAGTAATCCAGCCCCTCCCACCTGTGTCTGTATCAGGCCTCTGGGACCCAGTTGGGACAGCTCCTGGGTCCGTGGTGAGATGACGGCTTTTCCAGGCCCCAGTCTGCCCCAAAACCACTGAAATGTGTGCGTGCAGTAAATCACCTGTGTTCC